TCTGTCTCAAAAAAAAAAAAAAAAAAACGAAAAAGAGACTTTAGGCCTGGCATGATGGCTGTAATCCTAGCACTCTGGGAGGCCGAGGTAGGTGTATTGCTTGAGCTCAAGACAAGACCAGCCTCAGCAGGAGTTGAGACTGTCTCTACTAAAAACGAAAAACTGAGGCAAGAGGATTGCTTCAGCCCAAGAGTTGGAGGTTGCTGTGAGCTATGACACCATGGCACTCTTCCAAGGGCAACAAAGTGAGACTCTGTCTCAAAAAAACAAAAAACAAAGAAAAAGAGACTTTAGTACCACCACCTCTTCCAAAGATTTCAGTAAGACCATCTCTCTTCCTAAGTGGAAAGATCACTAATACAAACCAAACTCCCAAGTTGTCTTAAGACAATTCTTGCACTCTCCACTGTCTCAGTATAGGCCCCTTTGCTTGCAAACTCTATATACAATTGCAAGACCAAGTGAGCTTACAAAGAAAATCTGCTTTCTCCACAAATAGCTCATTGCTACTCATTGGTAGCAATGGGCTAGGATGTGCAGGGCAGGCTTTACTGGAGATACAAGGTGGGCAAGGCACACATGTTACCTGCCCACAGTGAGGACAGAGAAGCCAGGAACAGGTAATTCGCACACAGGTAAAGTTACAGAGTAAGCACAGCGATAAGGAGAAAATGTCACAGGAACTGGGTGGGCAAATCTTATTTACTGTGTACTCTCTTGTACCAGACACCTGCTGCAGAGGATGCAGCCAGGAGCAAGACGCCAAGCCCTGGGTTAGGCCAGGAGTATTGTAAGGATTAAAGCAAAATATGTGCTGAGGTCCTGCAAGTGCTTGCCTTACAAGATGTTCAGGCCCAGAACCAAAGGGAGACCTCCCCACTCCAGACCCCAGACCCCAAATAACCCCGCCCACTGCTGGACCCTGATACTCTTGAAATCATGTCCCGCCCTCCCCACCTTGACACAGGTCTTATTAAGCCCCGCTCTCCATGACCTCATGACTCCGGCCCATCCCAAGCTTTATTTAGCCCCGCCCATCCTGCGGTCCTAGTCTCGGACGCATAGCCCCGCCCATCCCACTGCAGCTAGCTCCACGTCGCCCTGCCCCATCCCTGACATCAAGGCCCCGCCCACCCCGCCCGAGCTCAGACTCAACTTGACGCTCGCCCCGCCCCCATGACGTCACGCCCCCCCCGCGCAGACCCGTCTCACACCCAGCCCCCCACCCGCGGCCGCGGAGTTTCTCACCAGCTCGAACCGGTTGTTGACTTGGACGCCCGCCTTTCCTGTGCAACCGGGACGCTGGCCACCAGGCCCGCGTTTTGGCCCTTCTTCTTCCGCGTCATCGTCATCTCGGAGGTCAAAATGCAGGGCGCCAGGCCCGAGGGGCTCCTGGCCGCGCTGTTCCCCCCTCAGCCTCCGGAGGGCCCGGCGCGACATAGGACCCAACGGCCGCTGACGCCTGGAGAAAGGGAGAAGAGCAGAAAAAGCGAGCGGCTGGCGCGCCTGCGCACTTAAGGCGCGCTGGCGCGAGGCTGGAGTGTCGCACCTGCGCGCTGTGGCTCTCCGGAACTTCCTCTCCTCATCCGCAGCTTCGGGGAAGGTTTGGGCGCGTCCGGCCGAGTTCTCGTGAGAGTTGGGCGCCTCCGTGCGGTGAGACCGCGCCAGCACCTGTGTGTGGGGCTGCGCAGGGTCTCGCGATGAGCGGGACGGAAGGCGGGCTTCAGCGGCGCTGAGGTTTTTTTGAGCCCAGAACCAACTCCGGCCCTGGAGAGGCCCTGTCCTTCCTAGTGCGGGCCAGCGGGAACGCCGGGGCAGGTATAGGGGGCTGAGCTCAGGTGGACACGCTGCAGCTTGGGGCACTCCGAGGGCCCGGGCCTGTGCTGGGCGGCTGCGGTATCTCCGCTCAGCCTGCCTCTGCAGCAGCCAAGGAAAACGAAGTAAGCGCGCCAAGCCGAGGAGCCCCCTGCTCCCCAGGACAGACGAAGCCGAATCTCAGGACCGGGCCCTGGGTGTTCGTTCTTTGGCTGCAGCGGGAACACAGCCTGTCCTGGTGCGGGGTCAGCGAAGCCTTCCACCCGGGCTGGGCATCGGCATCTTGGGGGCATTTTCACAGTAAAGGCGCGTGGCCTAGGCCCAGAGACTCTGAGAGGTCCAGCGTGGGTGGTTTTTAGAGCTGTAAAGAGGCAGCCAGGACTGGGAACTGGCAGGGGTCCCAGGGCAGCCCTGAGACGGGGTTCCACGCCGGGAGGCAGGCCCAGTGCTCAGTTCTTACCTCATCTTCTCCTTTTACAGGAGAAGAAACTGGGACTCGAAATAAGGAACTGATCCAGAGAGAAACTGGTTTGCATCGGGGCGGTGAGTCCTGAATCTGAGGAAGAGGCCGCAAGGACAGAGAAGGTGCATTCCCGGAGCCCAGTGTTCTTCACTTTGAGAAGTTGTTGAGATGCACATACTTTCTGGTCAGCTGTCCTGCTTCCCAGTGGCTGGCACATGGCTGCTGCCTCAAAGCCTTCCACCTGCCCGGTCTGCGCTCCCAGTCCAGCGGCTAGAGAGGACCCGCAAGCTCAGGACCAGCCAAGTTGTTTTCATGTCACACTTGATCAAGTCGTGTGACCAGTCTGTGCAGGTCTTTCGCCTGGCTTGCCGGTGGAAGCTTCAGGCTCTCAGCTTGGAAGCACCTCCACAAGACAGAGGTTGTATACAGGTGAGAGTGCAGCGTCAGCTGAACTTGGTGTCTTCCCTGGACAGGAACTTTGGTTTGTTTTTTTTTTTTTTTTGAAGAGCCTCAAGCTGTAGCCCGGGGTAGAATGCTATGGCGTCACAGCTCACAGCAACCTCCAACTCCTGGGCTCAAGTCTCCTGCCTCAGCCTCCCAAGTATCTGGGACCACAGGCGCCCGCCACAACACCTGGCTATTTTTTTGGCTACAGTTGTCATTGTTTGGCGGGCCTGGGCTGGATTTGAATCCACCACCTTAGGTGTATGTGGCTGGCACCTTAGCCACTTGAGCCACAGGCCCAGAGCCCAGACAGGAACTTTGAATGGGAGTTTCTCCCTGTACTGTTGAAGGCCTGGTTCTCAGCAAGGGAAGTTTAGGTCTACTTGTCAGGTCTCAAGGTGATAAAGCTGAGGCGGTGCTTCCTTCAGTGGGCTGATTGCATGGCTGCCTGTACCTTGGGTTGGAGTGGGGGGGATCCAGCAACCCTTTTAAAAGCAGCACAGAGAGGAAAGGCAGCAAGGAGATGGAAATGCAGCAGCTCTCCCCTGACTGCCACAGCCTCGGGGAGCAGCTCTGCTTGGGCTGGGCAGCCATGAGGCACAGTCTTGTGCTCAGCCCCCCTGGTGCCAGGATATGCTCATTCTTTGTTTTCATTTCTAAAGTTCCATGTGGATTAGAATCCAGTCTCCCTGTGATTGGGAATGTGAGCATCAAGGGTAGAATCAGTAAGGACAGTAGCACTGACCTGCAAAACCAGAGGTCCTCAAACTTTTTAAACGGGGCCAGTTCACTGTCCCTCAGACCATTGGAGGGCCAGCCTACAGGCCCCGGGATGAGTCAGCTGCTAAGCAGGACAGGTGGCGATAGCAAAAACACCCTGCAGGCCAGATAAATGTCCTAGGTGGGCTGCATGTGGCCCGCAGGCCGTAGTTTGGGGACGCCTGCCTGAGACCCTCTGCCCACAAATTAGCTTCCTTATTGCTGGCTGTGTGACCGGGGCAGTACCTGACCCTCTCTGTGCCCATTTTATTTTTAAACAAATAAAAATAGAGACAGGGAGTCTGGCGTGCTCAAACAAGTGCTGGGAGTTGGCTGTTTTTATTGACTGCTCTAGTTCTGTGTATAGTTTTCCTGGATCCCAGCTGATAATTCTCTCCTGTAGGTCTATCTGCCATAATTCCTACCCCTTCGGGGCTTCCTGTGGCAGGCATTGGAGCCTGGAATGAAAAGGCCTCAATTAGGTTCCATCATGTTCCTGGTGGGCTGTGCATCCTTGGTGCAATTCTTCATCTTTCCAAGCCTCAGAGGCAGGATAATGATAGAGCCACCCTCCAAGGTGCACACAAGCAGCAGAGTGATGAGCACAGCCTCCCTAGAACTGCTGAGATGGTACCTCCAGCCCCTGTGAACCCCGAGTGAATCACCTCCCTGAAGAACAGGAGTAGGGATCTGGGAAACCAGACCAAAGGTCTCCCAAGCTAACAGGTGTGGCTTGAGTTATTGTTTCACATGCAACCTGATCAGGATGGCCAGGACTATGACTTTGGCAAAGAGCTGGCCAGGGCTTCCTTGCCAGGAGTGGGCCTGGGTGCCCCTATGCCCCAGAGCCCGGCTTCAGCCTTGGGACAACATGCCCCTGCTGTGGCTGGGCAAGTCCTCAGTACACACTCAGACAGAAGACTCTGACACCACCTTTATTCGACTAAGAGTAGACATAAGTACAGATTTACAGAGCTGTTTGTCCTGTATGGGAACATCACTACCACTGGGGACCTCTGGGATGGCAATGCAAGAGAAAGTGGGGCCCAGAGCTCCAGGGTGGCTGTGACAGAGGCACGGGGTTTTCCTGGGGCCTCTGTTGCCCAAGTCACCACCAAGGAGGATAGAGGTAGGCAGGGAGCATGGTCCACCTGGGAACAAAGTACCATCCCCACTGAGACATATACCTGGGGAGGGGAAGCTACTATGTCCGTTCCTACAATGGAGGAAAGAACTGGAACATGGGAGGGGGATCTATGCCGGGAGCCCCAGGATCTAGAGCCCTCTGTTCTCCCTCTGTGAGAAAGCCCATTCTCATTCCCATTCCCCCCTTTGTCCTCCCTATACTCCCACACACCTGAAATACTGAGAAGCAGCAGCTTTCCCCAAGGAGGGTCCTACAGAGAACCAAGCCCAAATGAACTCTGGGGCCAAGGAAACAATGTGTATAAATATATAGGCTGCGCATAGTATGTAAATGTATCTATATATGTATATATATACATGCACAGCTTAGGGCAGCTGTGCCCCAGCATCTCAGCCTCAGGTGGCATCCCTCTTCCTCTGTTGTGAGGCACCCTGTGGGTTTCTCTTAAATAAAAGCACAGCTGGCCACCTGTGCCTTCACTTGAAATCAAGAGTCCTAGTGTTAGGGATATAGAGGGACTGAGTCTGGCGGCTGCGTTGTGGTGTGGTGTTGAGGACATCCACGCTTTTGCGGCTGGAGCACACCACATCAGCCACAAAGCTGGTGCAGTCACTGCAGACATCCTTGAGGACAGAGCCGTGGGTATAAATATGGGGGAACTCCTCCTCCACGCTTCGCCACTGTTGCCCCTTCAGGGATCTGGGACAGAGTGGAGGACCAATGGGGGAAACCTAGCCAGGGGGCTAGATCTCCCTTGTACTCCCACCAAATCCACCCTTTTCCTCCATACCCATAGCCAGCCCCATGCCTCCTTTGTTTTCAGGTACCCTGTGTGTTTCTCTAAAAAGTACAGCTGGCAAAGTTCATCCCAGCAGACTCTTGCCTTGACTACCCTTATCCAATCTCCATCTCACACCACTCAGCCCCTCCAAAATGATTTCATCTCAAAATAGCTACCTTGGATTCCCTTTTCCTTGGAGGTGTCCCAGCAAACAGACAAAAGCCAGCTCCCAAGTCATGGCTAATGCCCAACCACAGCAACATTGGCAACAAGGCAAAGAACTCACTGAAAGGCGTCTCTTCTCGGGGTTGGTGTGGTTTTGGCAGTAGACGTCCCCTGAGGACTCTCAAAGCCCAGTGTGTAGACAGGGATGTGTGCAAACTTCTTAGAAGGCATTTTCATCTGCAGCACAGAGGGAAGTGTGGTCAGGCACCCCAGGGGACAGTTCAGGATACAGTGTTGGGAGCACCCCTCCCTGCCCTGGGGGTCACATGGCAGCCGGTGCTGTCCATGCTCTGCCACGCCTCCTGCCTGCCTTTATCTGAAGACTTGGTGTGTATCTCCTTGGTAGTTAACACACACCCTACCTGATTTTCTGCTCATCTAGACAGGGACTTCATAGGGGGCAGAAGCTTTTTCTCTTTTTATATCACAGGATCTACCACCATTCCCTACACACAAGATTTAACATTGAGCTGGGTATGGTGGCTCATGCAGGAGGATTGCTTGAGACCAGGAGTTCAAGACCAGCCTGAGCAACGTGGTGAGACACTGTCTCTACTAAAAATTAAAAGTAGCTGGGTGTGGTAAAGCGTGTGTCTATAATAAAGTGCTGGTTGCAGCACTACTGGCTGAGACAGTAAGATTGCTTGAGCCCAAGCATTTGAGATTGCTCTGAGCTATGATGATGCCACTGCAGCCTAGCCCAGGCACCAGAGCAAGACCCTGTCTAAAAAATAAAAATTAAAAAAAGTTGATGAGGCGTAAGTTTCTCTATTGCCAAGTATTAGGGTATAAAGTAAGAGTTTAAAAATAGTGGTAGTATGGGCGGTGCCTGTGGCTCAGTGAGTAGGGCACTAGCCCCATATTTCAAGGGTGGCAGGTTCAAACCTGGCCCTAGCCAAACTGCAAAAAAATAGCTAGGCGTTGTGGCGGGCGCCTGTAGTCCCAGCTACTCAGGAGGCTGAGGCAAGAGAATCGCCTAAGCCCAGGAGTTGGAGGTGCTGTGAGCTGTGATGCCATAGCACTCTACCAAGAGTGACAAAGTGAGACTCTGTCTCTTAAAAAAAAAAAAAAGTGGTGGTAAAAGTCCCTCTCAGGCAGATTCTGAGCTAAGGCATTAAGAGGTAACATGCTTGTATATGTTATTACCCATTCACCTCTGTACACACCCACACATGATCATAGAACCAAACTGCAATAGAACACTCAAGTTGTAGAGTGTGAGAAGGTCCTACCAGAGAGGAAGTGAAGGCTTTCTTTGCACTAGCCTACTAAAAGGG